TCATCGTTCCTGCATTTCCATATGAATTGCTTTCTATTTCCGTTCTACCTTTCTTCATCTTCTCAATCTTCTGCTGCCAGATATTATATTCCTGACTCGCTTTATATACTACTTATGTCATTATAAGTAGCACACAACACTTGTCCAGTAACTAAGTTAGTCAGCTCATTATCGGTCAATAGGTCTGAACATTATAACACTGTGATTGACGATCTCCTTTAGAGTCTAAATTACTTGTTTATGAAAGGTATATAAGAAGTACGGAAAAGACAAGGGCAAGCAAGAAAAGAATTCAATTAACTAAGGAACTAAATAAATAAACAGTTGAGTTTTTTTTTATTTTAACGACCAGAACCTATATGTGCTTCATTTTTCCACTGTCAAGTAAGAGAAAACTCAATAAGAAGTATTATCTCCAAGTCCAAAATTTCCGTTGCATACGGAGACTTGAGAACAGATATACAATTTGGGAACTTAGTTTGGGAGACACGAGATTTGATAGGTTCATCAAGGTGTAAATTAGAAAGATTTAGGACTAAATTGACTGACTGTTGTAACTAGTTTAAGACCAACAGGCATCACAAAAAACGCATACTGATTAGCAAGCTTTATGAAACCACTAAAAATTCAAATCTGAAAAGGACTTAAGAATCACCAGAATGAAAAAAGATTTGGATGTTGTAATCCTAAGCAAGAATAAATACATAGATAAGATAAACCTTCTACTGGATAAACAACTTAAATTTCAAGTTTATACATAACAGAATTGAAGATGTCACGGATATTCCGTGCTTGAAAACGCCTTCTTAATTAAGGATTTCAAACCCAGTCAAACTAGAAGTCAGGAATGAAGGCATTCGAAAATATAATTGGAAAATGCTCAATGTGTCTAGAAGTATGTGATCTAAGCTGATTAGTTATTGTAGGAGATGCGCAACACGATTTACCAAATCATGATTTGTTGTGGGTGACTGACCGAGCACATTCAGCGAAAGGTGTATTCAGTAAAACTTGTGAGGACAGTATCGATGTCGAAGGCTTGCAGAATCACTTATTTTGGGGATTCACCATCTCAGATGGAATGTCGCTAGGAGTGTAAACCGAAACGCGCTTATTGTCCTATTCGGAACTCGTCATTTGAGTTGATCAAGTCTCAGTCAATAGAAAGACAACGGAATAATCCAAACCAGTGAAAATTAAATAGAATTTCAAAATTTAGGTGCACCTCTAGGCGTACAGAAAAAGAGAGAACATCAACTAACTATGATTATGAAATTATTAAAGCATAATAAAATAACTCATCGACCACATACGATATGATTAAACTATATATGAACGATAGTCATCAATTTCATGGTTTATCAAAAGTTTACAAACTGTGGATACCATTACACCCAATCCTCGATAAGTTAATATTACAATGTGATGGCTGATGAAATCGCCAGAGTGATTGCAGTGAAGCTAAGTAAAATACAGTGTTAAGTATTTATTTGAGACACGCAGATACTACAAATGAGTGAGCCTATCCGATAAAATAATTTTGTTGCTGGACATGGAGTCCTTATTTTCAAATATTTCACTAATAGAAACTATCGATTACATATGCTTGCAATTTATAGGAAGTGAAATAAGTGTACTGATACATATAGATAAAATGAAAGAAGCATTATCAAAATATTCATTTTACTATTAACAACCAAATGTATAGACTGATAGACAGAATCGTAATAGGATCTCTTTTCGGTTTACTACCAGATGATATCATTTTACCTAAATTAGAAAATGGATTATTACATGACAAACTGAGTAAACTTGGATACTTTAGTCAGTACATTGATAATATGTTCATTGTACACTACGGTGGTGTCAGTAAACAAGAGCTATTGAAGAACTTTATTAGTGTTCATTCTGCCATTAAATTTATTTAAGAAGAGGAACACAGAAACAGTCTATATTTCCTGAATGTCTCATTCAGAATGATAGACGGGTTCATAAAAATGAATTAACTACCACACTTTTACACCTATTCAGTACAAAACGAACTTAATCAAATATTGCAGTCACAGGATCAGACTATCATGTTCTGTGGATTCTGTAGATGAAATAGATAAATTAAAGTATATACCACTAAATAACGAATATTTAGCAAATTTCACTGAAATGTATTCGGCTGAACCGAAATAATGGGCACAAAGGGACATTGTAAGTAAGAAGAGCTTTAATCTGAGATTTGAGTTTAAAGGGACCATAATGTGTAATATTTTAACATGTCTTATTGTATGATTAATTGAAAGAATTGTTCACGTTGCTCAAAGAAATCAGTACTTATACAAATAATCAAGGTTAGAATACCGATTTTTGGATTACTGATGTGTACTCACCGACTTCACTGATCACGTGAAGCTATTTACTTAAGGCGTACTCACAGGGCCCTACCTTAAGTCCAGATGAATATTTACTGGGAATAGTAGAAAAAAGCGCCGTTTAATCCATAAATACTTCTTACTTTCTCATTCACACAAGTAAACTCGGCATTAAAGCAGATGAAGCATCCTTCATTTTGTATCAAGTCCTGAAAAACCTACCGAAGAGAGTAAGAGTATGGATCATCTACACAGATGAATCCAACTTTAGCCAGAGGTATATTCATCTTTGATGTTCACATCGGTTCATTATTGGGTCACTCCATAGGCAAAGTGTTTACTGTATACCCTCGTCTTACTCTCCCCATTCTTTATTACGTTTATCTCTACCCTTCTCCATTCTTGATGTGCATATTCACCTAAATCAATTCACGTAAATATTTCTTATTACAATTAACCTGACAACATTTTTGTGTAAATTATATTTGAAATAACCACAGCGATTGAGATCTAATTAATTCCGACGTTTCATTCAGGATTTTTATGTCGCTTTGATATTTTTGATTATTACTCTGAAGAAGTCAAGACTAGGTTGCTGGACGAAACGTTAGAATTATTTAACTTCCTTTCTCTAAGATTTTTTCAAATATGACTTTTTACAAATAACGTCTTTTCTATACTCGGCGCCTAATTTCTGTCAAACGAATATTCATAAACATGGAATCATTTTTCTTTTATCATATTCACACGACTTTATTATTACTAGATATATTCTATTTAACCCGTTATATCTCCTATTACATTGAACGAATACATGGAGGGGGATTCCGAAATCACCCATGGAAATCGTACACTGAGTACATCATTTTCACATTTTCCTTGACGTATTCTTAACATATTCCATCACTCTTTAAATTTTGTTGTTATTCCAATCGCTCACTGTTTTCTTTCCTCTTCTTTTTATCTCAGTCTTCTCCTGGTAATCATCCCACTTCCAATTCCTGCTACATACTACTTATATCTGTCCTCATTAGTAGCACACACCACGCTATCATGAATTTTATTCACATTAATTACTTTAAAATATTGTTTGTAACTCTACTAATTATAATGAACCTTTCTATCCATTTCTAGGATGAACTTTCAAATTCACAAATGAGACACACTGAACTTATTCGGATAGTGATTGATGTGAAAGTTAACTATTATAACATGTAACAATGTCTGTTTTACTTAACTATGTTTACCTTAATTTGACCATTAAAATAGAATAATTATGGATTTTTAAATGTGGAGTTTGATGAGGAAGTTACTGAAATAACTTCTCTCAAATATTCTTTGTTTTTGAATACTGTTTAGTGATCTTTAAAATAATAAGATTAAGAGCTGTTCAAATACGAATACATTTGGGTAAGAAAGGATAGATGAATCTTGAAATCAAGAATGATATTATAGACCTAGTTCTTATAAACCATTATTCTATGGTACTGTAACAACTGATCTATATGACTTCTTTGTCATCATCCTACACTTGAAGTTGACTAGGGCACCACTGTGTAAGGGGAAAATTCTAGTGAGTGGTTATTTATTTGAACGCATAAATATTGGTTCAAAGGGGCACCGAATACATGTGCACGACACAATTCACTTGATTTGTGTGTGGACTGTGATACTGCCTGGGTGCCTAAACAGTAGCACGTGGTTTTCTTGGGAGGCCACGCCCAAGCTTTCGACCTAAAGGTCTGATCCACAAGGCAGAGGAGATGCAGTACCATGGTAGCAGTTGACCAACAATAGGTTTATACGCCGTTTGTTTCCTTAGGATCCTGGAGTCCATGTGCACCATTGGTTTGGAATCAGGGTTTTTCAACCCCCCTAGATGGATCCTCCGTATTCACCAACCCGAATAAAGCACCAAACATTCGCTTTTCGTCCTCTCGATTTCGTGAACAGCGCCCCTTCAGCGAGAAGGCACTGAATAGGACTACCTTAGCAGTGGTTGTATACGCGCGACAATGTGAGAGCATTTCGAGGAGGGGAGATGACTCTCCCCATCCTCGGCCGTACCGGGGCATTTGGAGGCACTGCTTGGCTAATTCAACATGAACCTATTGTTTCACCTAGCTCTTTAGATCCAGGAAGACTGGTCATTTATTGACGAGCATTTTCTAAGATATATAAATCTCTCAAGACCAAGAATCAATAAATTGTAGTTCATAGCTTTAACATTATCGATTTTGCAACATGTAATTGAGTATAATCATGTTTTTAACAAAATACAAGCCTAATGAGAAAAATATGACTACAAACAATATTCATCTACAGATCGGGACATGACAAAGAAGGGTCTTTAGCTTTATACATATTAAGAAAAATATTTAGAATATCTATTGATGGTGGTAAACTATTAAAACCAACAATGCACTAAATTACATGTAATAATCTTGATATGTTAAGAGAATTCCAAATTCTTCTGAATCAATTTATTCCCAATAATACAGGTATATAAACTAAGAAAATAAATTAATATTTAAGTAATAATTTGATATTTCCCTGAATGATTTCTATTGTTAAAAATGCTGAAAAAGAACATGTATTTTTATTGAATTTCAAAGGAAAGAGATTTCAATGGAAACGATGACAAAAAACATGTAAAAACTAGATATATACCCTGTCCTGTTATTATTATTATTATTATTACTACTACTAATAATAATACTCTTGAAAAGGATCAAAGTTTTAACAACTAATTTTGCTCAAGTTCTCATGGTTATGTAAATGTGAATTTATGTTGTATATATAACCGGAAACACAACAAAAACACAATTACATGTCATAAACTCTAGTTTGTGAGTTTAGTATATTTTTTTCCTGATGTACATCTGAAAACATAAATATAAGTATATTCAATAGGATGTTTTGCAACAGTTTTAACGAATCAAATTTCAAGTGATCTAAGGTTTCTAGGATTTATATAGAAACAGAGAAAAAAAGATATTTATTTGAATGAATTGCTTTCTGTAACCGAATATCTCAAAACAAATATAAAATCAAATAGATTGTAACTGTAAAGAGGTACCTATCCAACAATTATTCTAACATTGTACTACATAAATAATATGGTCGAAATTCTATTGAACACTAAGATATTCGTTGTAATCATTAATTCGATATATATATGAATTCTATAATTGTCATATAATACACTCAAAACATCTTGACATTAAGTTGCTTAATGAAAGCTACAAAAACATGACAGATTTAGTTTATGGAACTGTACAAACGATACAGGATAAAAAGGTTATGGTAGACGAATTAAACAATAATAATAATAATATGATCGTTCAACTACATAAGATAAATACTAACAAGAATAATCTTATAAACAGTAATAACAATATTAATAATAATGATATTATAGACAATAATAATACTACTAATGATGAAATGAGTAATAATACTTTCTCAAATGAAGAACAATTAATTCAACAAACATTATCAGTTTCCAAAAAGAGAAAAAAATTAAATTAATAAATTCTAAACGATTTAAACAAAATGATCAACACAATAATAAACATAATTATCATATATATCCATTTGATAAAGTGAATACAAGTAATGGTAATATTGAGATAATTACAGAAAGAATACGTGATAAATGGAATAAGAAAATTGATTTCTTATTATCTGTTATTGGGTTTGCTGTTGATTTAGCAAATGTCTGGAGATTCCCTTATTTGTGCTATAAAAATGGTGGTGGTAAGTAGAATGTACTCTTACACAAGTTCATTTGTACTAAATAAATTTCTGTTAATTTTACTTTAGTTATTTATTTACTCTGAAGAAGTGACTCATATTAAGTTACAGAATGTCAGAAATATAATTTTCTATACAATTTATATGAAACTATCAAGTATAACCATGGCATTGATACCTACATAAATGTAATGTTTGTCATTATTAGCGTTATGTTCACTCGTTTAACAGATCAACGATGTAGTGTGGTATATATATGTGTAATTAACATGATGTAGAATAGCTTACTGGTTTTGTTCAAGACCCTAAATTTTTTAGTTAAGATTTTTGTGAGATGAGCCACGGCATTCATTTAAGGCGGAAACATTAAAATTAAAGTGTTTCTAGTAGTCTGTTTCATTATAAGTAGTGATTTTTCAAACCCAACGACAATCTAAAGGCTCTGAAAAGATACTTTACTCCCGATCACGTTGTTTTGATCATAGGTTGTAGGACCTTTACGATTGAAATTGGAGTACATTATTCTATGAGAAATTGACACATATTTTGTTAAAGGCATAAAGGTACACATATAATATTTTAGTTAATTTCATGTATTGTAATTATCTAATTCTTAAAAGTAGGAGACATTACCACAATCTTTATTCTTTCAATAATAGGTGAGGGTGAAGTGTTATTTTCTAAAGATTTTAACTAATGATTGAAAAATATAACAGACTCCAATTTTAGAATTTCGGTTAGTAAGCACAAAGACTATAGATCATCATCAGTTGATATGTATTCTACTTAATTGACTTTTCAGTCCTCTCTTGAATGAATCAATTAGAAACGCGAAATTCCATTTCTTGACACTATTTCGTCAGTTTATTATTTAGGTAGAAAATATTTACTCTAGTGGCAGTAATGATGGTAATATTAATTAGAGACAGTTTATTTTAAAATTAGACATTACATTTGTACAGTAAACATAAAACGGTATTTATGGGGTTAAAACTTACAATTATTTCAAAAAATGCCTTAAAATAGCTGTGTTAAGGAAGATAAATAAATTTAATACCTAAATAATGACTAGTCAGTTTTATATTCATCTTATTTTAATGCATCCCAACGACTATATATTTGTTACTTTATGGGAATTTACGGAGATTGTTGAATCACCGTAGGTTTACATCACTGGATGACTTTTGGTCAGACTGCTATTAAAAAACCAGCTGCTTGGTCTAAGTTCAGGAATTCTTAAAATTCCACATTCGCTACCTCTTTTCGAGGAACCGAATGCAACACCATCGGTCTCGTGCAAACACTTAACCTGTGAATAGCTCAGCGTGAGCTAAATGTTGTACACGTCTAACTTTAATAAGTTTTTGATATTGCATAACCATCTTCCACTTCCCAAGGTGAATAAGTGTCTCACAATTGACATGGTTAATCCCTCTTTGTCGGAGCTTCACCTGAAATCCCAACTCTGTAGGAATGGGTATGCACACTGCTGAGGAGTTACATAATGTGACTCGACTGCAAGTGATTGCTCGTTTTCAATGATATAGAAGCAGTCGTATTATATGGTGAAAAGTATAGATATTTAAATTAATCGAGGCTAGTTCTATAGAGACCTCAATTTTGATAAATGTTCACAGGTATGTCCTCTATACTCAGCAAAAATATTTTCTAACTTCTAATAGTAATCAATACAGTTTAGTATTGGTTGCATCATTAGAGAGATAAGTTTTCTGTGGTCAAACTCTGTAAGAAATTTTACTGAAATGACTTAGGATTACTAATGTTCAGGAAAAAGAGTAGAAACAGCTGAATGAAAACATGATGTGATCAAACAGAAACAGAAATTAAGAAGTTTATTTTGATACTACTTAAAGAATAAATACCGCTTCTTTTTAACCAATCAAAAAATAGCTTCAAGTCCTTAATATCTTTGATGACTTTAATCCATATGATAATGCATGATTCAAAACTACTTCGTTTTATAATGAAATCATTTTCACTTCGTTAATAATATTAAATGCTTTTCGAGGTTTCATATATTTTAAACAAAAAATACGAGGATACGGTTGCTAGAATAGACAAAATTTTAACTAATTTAGATAGATTTTAAATAAGTTAACCAATGTGACATTCAGTTGTTGAACAACCACGAAGTATAAGAACAAAATCAGCTATGTATTTTAAGTCAAGTTTGATATGCGAACGGTAATTATCCAGTAGTGATCTTATCGAACGAGACATAACCACCTAATTTGAGCGCTTCACCATGCACTTTTGAATTCAGTTGTTCTTGTGAAAAAGACTATATAACGTGAGCTAATAGATTATTTATTCAATTAGTTAGCGAGTATCTCCTTTCATGGTTTGAAAAGAGTCGAACAAAACTCATGCTCAATAAAGTTATATTATACTTGGTCGATAGTGTTGATGTGGTAGATAGGACCAGAGAATTCAAATACTATTAACTTTCCCCAGTGAGAGTTGGTTTCTTATTTTAGATAATAGCAAACGCAACAGGGATTTGAGTAAATAACTTTCATCTCTATGTTTAGAATAATTGGGTAAAACAAGAATTTGTAAATGTGGTCCATGAATATCATTTTATCGTAATTCATTTATTGACAAAATACTGATATTCTATTTGATTTCATTAGTTTTAAAGCCGTTCAACTGTGCATGACATTGTAACAACCGTATATTACTGATCCATTCAAATTGTCTTCAGTTGAATATCTTTACGATTGTACCATAAATTGATTAACGAAGTCGGATATGTTGGTATCATGGTATCATCCGACTATTCAATTGATCGATTAATAAATGTGTTAACTATCAAGATAATATACGAAAATCCGTCAATATTTGAACGAATAGTTTGACAGAAGTTAGACTCTGAATGTAGCGAATACATTATTTCTAAAAATCATATTTATAATAGTCTTAGCGACTGAAACGCTGGAATTATTTAAATCTTAATTGTTGTGATTATTTCAGTTATAATTTTTACTAATAATATCAATATATTATTTCCTCACTATGTTTTTATCACCCATACAGTAATTGTTCTCATATTTCTAGAACTTTCTGTTGTCTTTAAATGCCTTTTACAACACTGTTTGCGTCTTCAATGTTTATGTTGAAGCAACAAAGGAGAATCATGAGTATACTGTAGAAATACCATGTTGTTAAGTGAAAAATGACTCGCACAGTATTGTGTGGACTATAACATATGGTATTACTATGTACCTTATGTTTTTAGTTTAATATTCAGAATAAATTTTCAGTGAATAATTCCCGATTCTATAACTAATCGATTTTTATATTTTTAATTTCTCTTATTAAAGGTGCTTTTCTGATTCCATATGGTCTTATGCTAATATTCGGTGGAATTCCTTTATTTTATATGGAATTAGCTTTAGGACAATTTATTCGTAAAGGTGCTATTACGTCATGGGGAAGAGTGTGTCCACTTTTGAAAGGTTAGTTGAAATTCCGAAAAAACTAGAAATTATATCTTATGCATTCATATGTTTTGAAGAAATTAAACTAAGACAATAAGTTATATAAATGAATTTATTTATGGTTATACACGCACATAGATAATAGACATTCAATAGAAACAGAATAAAAATCTTATAGAGAATGAATAACAACCAAAGCCCTACACATTTGAAAAAACCCAAACCATATAAATAGACGAAATAGAATATAATTAGTTGAGCAGTGGTAAGTGTTGACCAATCAGTAAGATTAGAAATCTAATTTAAAATTTTTCATTTAATGTATTATGGGATCCCAACGACATACATTCACTTTATTCGATCAGTTATTTGTGTATAAGTATTTCTTGAACAACCAGTATGTTTAACTTACCAACACAAGCATGTATTTATTTTCTTATTTATGTATTTTTCTTCCGTGCATACTGTGATAACATTGTCGACAAAACTGATTAATTTTATGTTCAATCATAGCTTAGAACCATACACATATTCTTCTCTTCTCTCAATACAATTCCACTATTTTTCATACTGACCGGCTGTAATTTACATTTAAACAATTCTAAAATTAAATATCTATGATTGGAAAATGGTATGGTATACAGTCGTTTTGTGTAACATTGTCTATATTAGATAATTTTGACTTTGGTTCATTTATCTGGGGACGTTCATACCAGAGTGTCGAACAAAACTCTGGACTTATTATCGATTACAATCACTTAGATTTTCATGGATGTAAACTATTTTTTAATGCCTTTTATACACTCAGTATCAGTGGAGTTAATCCGTGTCGGGTAGAGACAGGTATCTACCTCAGTACAATGGAAGTTGGTCGCGCAATTTCGTGGATTGGTTGATGTTAGACACTAATACCATTGGATGCCGGCTCAGTGGTCTAATGGTTAAGTGCTCAGGCGCGATGCCAGTAGGTCCTGGGTTCGAATCCCGCGGGGTGCAGGATCGTGGATGCGCACTGCTGAGGAGTCCCATACGAGGACGAAACGGCCGTCCAGTGCTTCCAGGTTTCCAATGGTGGTCTAACATCAATTAATTCATGATCTCAACCAAAAACTTAACAATCTCCACAACCCCCATACTGATATGAATTGATAGTCGAACGATAGGTTTACTGCGATTGATAACAATAGAAGTTTAGGCTGATGCTTTTATGTAGAAAGTAGCTCAACACTTGGAAAAATAATTATTAATTAGATATCATTAGTGAGGCTATAATTTATTGAAGACCTTTGAGCAATAATGAAGTGATCTTGAGAAACCAACCACTTACGAGTGTCAAAATTCAAGTGTCTGTCTTAAATCGAATCGATTTATCCAAAAATTATAACCTCACCTCATTATTAAAAATTACTAAAGTCCTATAATAAGAAGTTTCTAAACGGTTAGATAGCAAAGACAATGTACGAGAATGAGTACAGGAAAACAAATGAACAAACGACATGGAAAATAACAGTGAAAACAATTCGTAAAATCATTTATTAAGTTTAATCCATCGACGCAGGAGATAGGGGTGTTAAAAATTACCTTTGATTACAACGATTAGAATTTTTGACATTTCTTTGTTTGAAAAATATATATGTTATGAGGTAGTTTCAATTCTATGGTTGGAATGAAAATTGGATTTTTCTTTTACTGAACCAGAATTACTTCCTTTTACTCTAATTAATTTCCTGAGGGAAGGGGGTAAAATTAAACAGTTAAGCCCTAAAGTTGTTCAAAGGGAACTTTTATATCTAAATGCCCTCAGCCCTAATCTCGTCGACACCACTTATACAGTTTAAAAGACAGTGAAAATGCAACCGAAAACTTACAGCTATGTTTAAAATACATATTCGGTTAACTAAATCTACTCTTTGCTCAACTGGTAAACTATATAAATCCCTATCTCCAGGAGCCTCTAATGAGAACGATAAAGGTTCACATAATTGTAAGTGGCTTTTATTATTTAGATTCATGATTTCGTGTAATTAGATAGACAAAATTCAAGACCACAATACTCTTAAGTTATTCAGTATCAATGGATATCCACCCAAAACGCTCTTTATACAAATTCGGGTAGCAGATTTGTCATTAATTAATTACATTTTATGGATAGCAACATATAGGAACATCTCATAAGTCAAAAGACAAATTACAATTAGAACGACAAAAATATAACACAGAAACAACTTCATCAGTAGTTAATAAATATTTGTAAATTCATTTGTATTTAATATTTTTCCTTTTGTCTTAGAGATACAAAGTATGTTCTATTGAAACTTACTTACTTACGCCTGTTACTCCTCGTGAAGGAGCATAGGCCGCTCACCAGCATTCTCCACCCAACCCTGTCCTGGGCAATCCTTTCCAGCTCCTTCCAGTTGTAATTCATCCTTTTCATATCTGCTTCTATTATCCGACGCAATGTGTTCTCTGGTCTTCCTCTTTTTCGCTTCCCTTCAGGATTCCAAGTTAGGGCTTGCCTCGTGATGCAGTTTGACGATTTGCGTAATGTATGTCCTATCCATTTCCATCGTCTTTTCCTAATTTCTTCTTCAGCTGGAAGTTGGTTTGTTCTCTCCCACAGAAGGCTATTGCTGATGGTATCCGGCCAATGGATGTTGAGTATCTTGCGTAGACAGCTATTTATAAATACTTGTACTTTCTTGATGGTGGTTGTTGTAGTTCTCCAAGTTTCAGCTCCATACAGTAGAACTGCCTTGACGTTCGTATTGAAGATTCTCACTTTGATATTGGTTGAAAGTTGTTTTGAGTTCCATATGTTCTTCAATTGTAGGAATGCGACCCTTGCTTTGCCGATCCTCGCCTTTACGTCTGCATCTGAACCTCCTTGTTCATCGATGATGCTTCCCAGGTATGTGAAGGACTCTACATCTTCCAGAGTTTCGCCATCAAGAGTGATTGGATTGCTGTTCTCCGTGTTGAATTTGAGGACCTTGGTTTTCCCTTTGTGTATGCTGAGGCCTACTGATGCAGAGACTGCTGCTACACTGGCTGTCTTCATCTGCATCTGTTCGTGTGTACGTGATAGGAGGGCTAGGTCGTCTGCGAAGTCCAAATCGTCTAATTGATTCTGAGCTGTCCATTGTATTCCGTGTTTTCCTTCAGATGTTGAGGTCTTCATAATCCAGTCGACCACCAGAAGAAAGAGGAAGGGAGAGAGTAAACAGCCTTGTCTGACTCCAGTCCTTACTTGGAATGCATCTGTCAGCTGTCCTCCATGCACTACTTTGCACTGTAGTCCGTCGTATGAGTTCCGGATAATGTTGACAATCTTCTCAGGAACTCCGTAGTGTCGAAGAAGTTTCCATAATGTCCTCCTATCTACACTGTCGAATGCCTTTTCATAATCAATGAAGTTGATGTATAGTGATGAGTTCCACTCAACTGATTGTTCGACGATGATCCGTAGTGTTGCAATTTGGTCTGTGCACGACCGATCCTTACGGAATCCAGCTTGTTGATCTCGAAGTTGGGCGTCTACTGCATCCTTCATCCGGTTCAGCAACACTCTGTTGAAGACTTTCCCTGGTATTGACAGTAGTGTAATGCCTCTGTAGTTTTCACATTTGCTCAGATCTCCTTTCTTTGGAATCTTGACGAGGTGTCCTTCTTTCCAGTCCATCGGCACTTGTTCCTCCTCCCAAATCTTTTTGAATAGAAGGTAAGCATGCTTGTGGTTGCTTCGATGTCTGATTTCAGTGCTTCAGCTGGTATGTTGTCGGGTCCTGCTGCTTTCCCGTTCTTGATTTGTCTGACGGCCATTCTAATTTCTTCCGTCGTTGGTGGGTTGACATCTATAGGAAGATCTATGTGTGCTGCTTCGATGTCCGGTGGATTCATTGGAGCCGGCCTATTCAGGAGTTCCTCGAAGTATTCTACCCATCTGTTACGCTGTTGTTGAATTTCGGTGATTGGCTTGCCTTCTTTGTCTTTGACCGGCCTCTCTGGTTTACTGTATTTCCCTGCTAGTTTCTTCGTTGTATCGTAAAGCTGTTTCATATTTCCTTCTCTAGCAGCTTTTTCTGCCGTCGTTGCTAGTTCTTCCACGTATTTCTTCTTGTCGGCTCTAATGCTCCTCTTCACTTGTTTGTTTGCTTCTATGTATTCAGCTTGTGCTTGGACTTTCTCTGCTCGTGTTCGGCTGTTGTTAATTGCTGCCTTCTTGTTCTTCCTTTCTTTGATCTTGTCCAGTGTTTCTATAGAGATCCATTCCTTATGATGGTGTTTCTTTAGGCCCAGAACCTCTTGACACGTTGAAGTTAATGCTTCCTTGATGCCTTTCCAGTTGTCCTCCATAGTAGTTTCTTCTTCTTCAGTAGATCTTGTAAGGCTTGGAACCTGTTGTTGAGAGCTATCTTGAATTCATTGAGTTTGTCAGTATCTCGAAGGAAGGCTGTATTGAACCTTTGTAGTGCTGTTTGTCCACTTGTCCAGTTCTTTTTTAGCTTCAGTTTTAAATTGGCTACAACTAGGTGGTGATCTGAAGCTACGTCAGCACCTCTCCTGGTTCTCACATCTTCCATTGTCCTTCGGAATTTTTTGTTGATGCAAATATGATCTATTTGGTTCTCTGTAGTGTGGTCCGGTGAGATCCATGTAGCCTTGTGTATACGCTTGTGTGGAAATATTGTGCCTCCTATGACCAATTTGTTGAATGCACACAAATTTGCAAATCTTTCTCCATTTTCGTTTCTCTCTCCCAGTCCATGTCGTCCCATAATATCTTCATATCCAGTGTTGTCTATTCCGACTTTGGCATTTAGATCTCCCATCAGAATAGTTAGGTCCTTTCTTGGCATTTCTCAATGATTGACTGCAGCCGCTCGTAGAACTGATCTTTAATGTCGTCGTTGCTATCATTGGTGGGTGCATAACATTGGATAATATTCATTAAGATCCCCTCCTTCTTTGTTTTGAATGATGCTTTGATGATTCTGGATCCGTGAGACTCCCATCCTACAAGTGCATTTCGTGCTACTTTGGACAGCATAAGAGCGACTCCCTGAGTGTGTGGAGCATTGTCCTCCTCGTGACCGGAGTATAGCAGCATCTCTCCCGTAGCTAGCCTTTTCTGTCCAGCTTGGGTCCAGTGGGTTTCGCTGATTCCCAGTACTGCTAAGTTGTATCTCCTCATTTCCATTGCTATTTGACTGGTCTTCCCGGTTTCCCACATTGTTCGAACGTTCCATGTACCTATAAAAATTTTTGCTCTGGTTGTTAGAAGGGGCATCGGCCTCGTGGCTTCCGAAGGAACTCGGCTTTCACCATGAAGCGTCATAATTCTTCTAACTGAAGACCTTCTAACTCCCAGGGCAGAGTTTAAATGGTTTGAATTATTTTTTCTGGTAAGCGTTTTTTTAGCGAGTTAGTTTTCTACGGGATGGGGACGCTAACCCCATGCCCAACCCTCCTCCTTTATCCGGGCTTGGGACCGGCAGTAACCCTGTTAGAGCTACAGGCGGAGTTATTGAAACATAATATACATATATTAATTATAAATTATTCACTACTAAGAGGTTATTTCTGAACGCTGACTTGTGTTGAATTTTTTTAACGACATATTTACTGTTATATAATTTTTTTAAAGTTAGTAATGATCTTTGAACAAATTAAACATCAGGCTCTTTACCCGATTACGGAGTTCAACAACAACAACAACAAAAAGAATATCAAATGCGAATTTTTAATTGACTTCCATTATGATTTTTTTTCTGGTGGTAATTGCTTTCATGCCATACAAATTATTAAATAGATCAGTAAGCAATATCAAATGATCTCACAAATTTCTCAAGATGAAGTTGTAATCAAACAAGTCATAATAATAACAATAATAATAATAATAAAATCTGAGTTGAAAATTGAACGTAATCCGGTTTCTTTATTTATTTATTTCTTATTCTTTTTGATGGAAAAAAATATCGCAAAAATTCAATTCTATGCTCATTGGTATAGAACAAGTACCTTCTTGTTTTATCATTATATACAATCCATCCAATGTTCCATTGTTTTTCTTTTGAAATGATCAAGTCAAACTTTAAAAGTGTTACATATTAACGTAGAACAGTTTGATGTGAAATTCATAGTAGGTAAAATGTAAGTAGAGCAAAGATTCTGAAGTATAGAATAAGACATTCATTTATATATAAATTAATATCTTAATGAGTAGAAAAATTAGATTTTCTAACATTTCGTGACTCATAGTTAGTTATTCTCTGAATAAGTGGCTTACACTGAGTTAAGAGACGTCGGAAAATCTAATTTTTCTACTCACTGAGATATTATAAATATATTATCTTTATTTATAATAATCTACTCAATGCTCAATTCCTTTGATACTTACAAATTCTTTTTCTACAGTTTCAATTCTAAATTTTTTCTCTATGAATATCAATTACAGAAAAAGAACATTTCTTTCGAATGATTAAATGTCTAGTTTGATAATGATCAGCATAGGAGTTATTGATTAAATCATGAACGAATTGATGTTAGACCATTGAAATGTTTAGTCATAAAGAAATTTTTAATTATCTCAAGAATAAACTTTAGTTATTACACTCTTTACATTGTAGGTGTTGGTTACAGTGTTGTTCTTGTGGCGTTCTACACTGATTGGTTTTATAATATGATTATAGCTTGGTCATTATATTATTTTGGGGCATCATTTACATTCAATTTACCATGGATGTCGTGTAATAATTCATGGAATACAGAGAATTGCATAGATTTTCATTTGACAAAAAATGATTCCATTTCTCAATGGGATAATTTTTCACTACGTAGCAATTATTCCATTGTAGGGAATATAACATTTCCTGTTGAAGAATTTTTCAGGTAGTTTCTTTTGGTATAGTTTATAAAATACTCTTATTTTTTTGTTACTAATTTTGTTTGTTTTGTAAGGTTTGTACAAATGATGGGTATAAGTTAGTCATAGACGTAGCTAATGAATAGTTGAAAAAAATATAGTGTGAATTTGATATGAACTACATGAATGACATTAGTGATTATAATCGTTTCACAAAATATAAGCCAAGGATATTAAAATAAGTAGATCACATAATATTCATATTTATTTTCTAGATGAATAAATCACTGGTCATTAAATTTTTCATAACATTCACTTTTGATCTACATGTACAATGAACTGGCAATATGATAAGAAAGTTGAAGAATTGAAATGTAGATCATTTGTTATCGATTAATTCTATCACATTTGAATGAAGTTAAAACGTGGCTAGAAACTAATTTTAAAATACCAAACTATTACAATAAGTGAATCTATGATAATATTTCAATAAAAGATGAACTTCTGTTAAGAAAGAAGTCATCTGAAGAATCGCATTCAAAAAATGTTTATTCTTCCCGTAAATACACTGAATATGAAATAACCGGTGAAGAATTCTAGAAAAAAAATTTTCCTATGAATAAAATGTTTTAGAAAACCTGATGGTTTATTTAATCCACTAAAGCAAAACCATCTAAATAGATTATTACAAAGAAGAGTTTCTCTAATAATAATAATAATAATTCATATTCTGACAATAATAATTACAGAATTCACGCCAGTTTACAGGCATGATCATTTTGATATAAATGGTGACATCAGACGTGCAGAACAAACATGTGATAGAAGAAAGTTTTAAGTAAACCAGTTCAGTAATTGTTTAAGTAGTACATATATTACAGCGATCCAATGCATCAGCCGGGAATTTTTAATATTTATTAAATGGACAGCCTGTTGATTTATTAACGGAGTAATTAAGGTCAATTCGTGTGCCAGATCGAATTAATGATATTTATCTACAACTAGAGAAATTAAAACGAAAACAGAGAACACGGAACAACAAAGAAGTTATTACCAAAATATATGAATCAGGTCTACCTAAATGCGTGTGTCATGTGACAGAGTGATATACTGTTGATGTTATTCAAATTAGTAAAACTTGCTAGGGACGGTGTTAACATAAAGTGACAGCAGGTAGGTGGTTTTACTTAGGGAATGCACTAATAAAGATGGCTAAACATTTAATGTTCCTAAAATATCACTTGTGGAATGAGATATACTTAAAGGTGCTAGACCATTCAATATATTTTCAGAGGAGCAGTATGCATCGATGCAGCGAACAAATAATGGGAGTGATTTTATCGTGCGGATAGATTGTGGTAAGTTATTCCGGAGTCTAGAAAATTTACAGGTGAAGTAATTCATATAAAGAGATGATTTAGAATGAGTTTGTTTCACTAGTGCCAAAGAATTACGGATGTCATAATGAGAGGTTTCTGCATATTGAATCGGGTGATTGGATGTAAACGATAGTTTATTAAGTAGTTTGAAGAAAAAGGTAAGATTTAGTTTGAGTCTCCTCCTCCATAAAGGGTCTAGCCGAAGTTTATTACATCTAGAATTATAAGTTAAGGTACAATCAGCTCCAAGAATACGAAGTGTAAATCGTCTCTGTACTGATTCCAGCCTTAATTTATCCTTTATGCGTGTACTGCTAAGAATAAACGTGCAATATTCTAGGAGAGGTCGAGCACAAACTTTGTACATTACGTGACTCATTGTTGTAAAGATTTCGAGTAAAGTAACCTACTAGACGCTGAGACTTAGAGGTCTGTTTTAATATATGTTCTGTAAACGACAAGTCTTGGGAATATCTAAGTCCTAAGTCTACTACTGTATGTAACCTAGATAACACTTCTCCATTTATGGTAATGTCTAGGTTGAGTGATGTATCGCCGAAGCATATCCATCCACATTTAGCCGTATTAAGCTCCAGTTGCCATTTTAAGCACCACTGTGTTACCTTGTTAAGCTCCATGCTGATGCAATTTTGCATATTTTTCAGGTCATGTGGAGAAAATGAATATACTACTTTAAGATCATCTGCATATAGAAGGGGCTCACCGACACAAAAACTTTCACAAATATCATTGATAAACACTAAAAAGAGCAAAGGACCTAAGACACTACCTTGTATTACTCCACTTCTAACAGGGACAGCGTTAGACAATGAAGAGTTAATTTTAACTATTTGGTATCGATTGCTGAGAAAGGAATCAAACCAAGCAAGCAAAGGATTTTGAACCCCATAAGATGCGAGTTTACCCATGAGAAGTTGGTGGCTAACCATGTCGAAGGCTATAGAAATGTCCAGATATAGCACTAAGACTAGATATCCTTGGCTACGTAGAGAATAGACTGAATTAAAGAAGTCAAAATGACATGTCATGCAAGAACTATTTTTAAGAAATCCATGTCGGGTATCATTGATAAATTTTCCAGCAAGTAAATAGTTGGAAAGTTCATCACTTATAATTTTCTCCATAATCCTAGAAATAACTGGAGTAATATTTATCGACCGGTAATTGTTCATGTCAGTCTTATCTCCAGATTTGTAACGCGGTATGATGTACGCGGTTTTCCAACAGTAAGGGTAAGAACCCGTTCCCATGGAGAGAGTAAACAGCTTTTGAAGAAGTGGAATATCTGGACCACCATATTTGTAGAGAAAGGATGAAATCCCGTCTACTCCATGAAATCATAATCTAAACTTTGGATTTATTAAAAAAACATTCAATATTTCTTTTTTTGTAATATTTTTACTAAAAAAATGTTTTGTTTTTTTTACAGTAATCAAGTTCTAGGTCGTACTAAAGATACAAATGTAGAAAATCCTGGTAAAATTCAATGGCAAATACTATTGTGCTTTATAGCTGTTATGGTTATTTGTTATTTTAGTCTGTGGAAAGGAATACATACATCAGGCAAAGTAAGTTATAGGTTCAATTAAGAGAAAAAAACACGAAAAACAGAATCATAAATTCTTTAAATATTTATATACAGTAAAATCTCTGAGCTTTAGTCATTTAAAATTCTAAAAGATTTCATGTATAGTATTTCTAATCATCCAACACAAAGAACTGAACTTTATACACAATGGGGCAAGTGACGTGAGTTAATTACAGAATGAATTTGAAGAATTATTTGCAAACTGTGAATAGAATGGTGGAAACATGGACTGTTCAGAAAAAATCTTTTATCTTAAAGCTACTAATCAGCAGCGATTTTGTTAGTGATATTTTAGCTTACAGATAATCTAGAGTTATAAAAAGGAGTCTCCGAGCAGTTAGTCTGTTTTTTCTCATTTTACTGTTGATTGATCGATGTCGCTCAACTATGAGTTGAACCACCTAATTTGAGCACTTCACCATGCACTTTTGAATTCAGTTGTTCTTGTGAAAAAGACTATATAACGTGAGCTAATAGATTATTTATTCAATTAGTTAGCGAGTATCTCTTTTCATGGTTTGAAAAGAGTCGAACAAAACTCATGCTCAATAAAGTTATATTATACTTGGTTGATAGTGTTGATGTAGTAGATAGGACCAGAGAATTCAAATACTATTAACTTTCCCCAGTGAGAGTTGGTTTCTTATTTCAGATAATAGCAAACGCAACAGGGATTCGAGTAAATAACTTTCATCTCTATGTTTAAAATAAATTTGTTACGTCCTTACTTATTCTTTAAGCTGTCAAAACTTGGATGATGATTTCACTAACTCTTCACAATATTTTTTAAATTTTCTTCCATTTCGGATCTCTTTTCGTTATTTTTATATTTAAAAATGATTATTTAAACAACTTTTATTACATAATGTCTAACAGTTATTGCTAAATTCTTATGTAAATAAGTCAAAAATCATGTCAGGGTATTTCATAAACATGTCAATATCCTGGTTCAAATTGATGCTAATAATTAATTCAATAAGATTTCAGTATCCAAAGTTAGACTTATAAAATAGGGATGTTATTATGTTTAGAGTTCGATAATGTAAAAATAAAGATGATATGTTTTGTCAGTTGAATGCTACTTGTTATATCTGGTTGTCGCTGATTGTTGCGTCGGAAACTCTTAGCACTTATAATCGAAACGAGGGACCTCTGCAATTTCTAGGACTTGAAAGTAAGAACACAAAGACTGGTTATAAGTGATGATTTATTAAACCCAAAACACGACGACTCTAATAAAAAATACACTCATTGATATAATGATTCCTACACCCATATAACAAATCACATGCTGAGCGTAGTTCATGTCAGTTGAATACAAGAATATCGTATCCTATACAGCATAAAATATCATACGGGAAAACAAAACAAATACTACACTGAATAATCATCAGATTAAATTAAAACGGAAGTAATGTTGAACGAAACTCATAATGAGTAAATCAATCGAATTTTGACTTTTCTTCCCATCATATCAAAAGATTTCATGGATTTGTAGTAGAGCATGGATGAACAAAATTAAAGAAGTATGTGTATTTTGATAGTAAAAGACTCTTGACCACACTTTCGATTTATAATAATATATAATCCACTGAACCAAGGGACATAGCTACTACACTAATGACTACGACATGGTAGACAAAATGTACAGACAAGGAACACGATATTTGAAAAGTCATTGTTCAAAATTTTTAACTATACAATGATGTAAGCATTCCAAAACATATTTTTGTTAGTCAAATCATAAGCGCATGGATTGTTAACATAACGGATGCAACATGATTTTTCAGACAGAGCAACAGATGTATCTCAAATAAAAAATACTAGCTAATTAAAATAATATTCTTGTATATAATCCACCAGTAGGAACTGTAAGTTGATGAATAGCTACCTAATTCCAGAAACGTACGGAATTATCAATAATTGGAACACTTGTATTTCACATAAAGACAATAGCAGTCGTTGGGTTTTCAGAATTTACGAAGTCCACTTAGTATCCTTCAACGTGAAAAAAGTGACCAAAACTACAATTAACAAATACTACAAAGAAGTAAACTATACTGATTAAATGGTCAAAAACATTGTTTTATATACAAAACACTTTATAAAGCATGTACGCATTTTTAAAATCTGTATATGTATCTAATCGAAATTTCGACTTATGATAATAAAACGTAAAGAAAAACAGATCAAGTAACTAAGATCTGTAAATCATTACAATGTGAAATATATATTAAATTTTTAAAATACATACAAGATACTCATGACTCTGAAACTTACACATCGATGTATTGTTACTCTAATAATCCAGTTCATTTCATTTATCTGCATGGGGATGTGTGGAGATTGTAGTATTTTCAAAGTTGAATTCATGTGTCGATCTAAGTTAGGCCATTATTAAAAACGTGGAAGCACTAGACGGCCGTTTCGTTCTAGTGTGAGACTCTTCAGCAGTGTACATCCACGAACCGTCATGCGCGATCATTTAATTTAGTTAATTTTGAAATACATATGATACTTTTCACTGAGAATTTTATAAAAATTTACCATTTTATTTTATTCTTTCAATATTTTTCGTCTCATAATCTATACATGCAATAATTCTTTTATATTTCTTCTTATAGGTTGTTTGGTTTACTGCATTATTTCCCTATGTTGTATTAATAATATTTCTATTTCGTGGAATCACGTTACCTGGGTCTACAAATGGTATATATCATTATATATGGCCAAATATTGAGAAGCTTAAATCCGCTGAACCATGGGTAGATGCTGCGACACAAGTATTTTTTTCACTTGGACCTGGATTCGGTGTACTTATGGCTTATGCATCTTATAATGAATTTCATAATAATGTATACAGGTAATCAAATACAGACAAAAATGAAACAGAAGTAATTTTTATTTAATCTGAAAATTTAGTCTACTTTCTGTCAAAGTTTAATTTCTCATAGTAAATTACTGAAATCAGATTTATTGTACATCAATCTCAATGTAGAATCGAACTGTTTTTAAGAGATCAATATGAAGTTAATTTATAGTTGATTGATATCTACTCGATATAACCAAATATAAGTGACTTGCACAAGATGTAAATTTGGAAAGATAGACTTATCAAAACTTAGTCATAAATGTTAACATCGAGATGAATAAAACCCTTAATAATTCTGATATTCATGTCATATCTTCTGAACAAGTTGATGAGGATCGAATGAAACCAAGCACCTGTTTCGTATGTTACTGAAAACTAAAGTTTCTCTATTCCATATAGAAAATTTCTTTTCGATGAAATCCTTTATTCTGCAACCTTGTCTATGATTATTTATTTGAGTCATTAATAATGATACGCAAGATTATTTTTGGTGAGAATATTACATTGTGATTGCAGTCAACTGTTTTCCTAAAAGGCTATGACTACTACTTCTTAGTTGCAGTGGGTTAATGCAAATCATCCGTTGATTTCTGATCACCTTGTCTCATGAGTAATACGTTTCAAAGTTATATAGATGATCAAGGAAGAATGTACACAATAAGGACCGATCTTCTTATAAATCTTAGCAACTCAGTGACAGAAGCTCGAGTTCGGTGCGCAAAACCAGATACCTGGATTTCTCGTTGGACCACAGTCCTAATCCTGATTGTTGATTTTTTTTTATAAATGTAATACAGGTTTTTCTACCATTCTTAAAGTCTAATATTTGAACGAAGAATATTCTTTTCGATAAATTCTCTTCAGGTTCTACAGTTATATATCCAAATTATTAATCCGAAAAATGGCCAAGTTAAGGGTAAAGTACATCGTTTAGAGCATGTGGAAATTCATTTGCCCCACGGCAATTTTTTTTAAAAAAACCCCACCCACCCTTTTTAAAAATGTTTTTTCAACCCAAAATTGCACTATTTTTCATCCCGTTTCGTCCAATGAAATGGCTAGTTTTGAAGTTCGTTTTTAATTTGTTAGTTATGTTTTGTGGGATTGCTATAAAACATCAGTACTTGTCGACGAAGTACATTTTAATCATCATTATTGAGGACAGTAACGTGCCTAGTACAAGCGCTGTTGTTTCTCACGTAACAGAAATAGAGGAAGTCTTTTCGACAACGTTGTTTCTCGTTGCGTTCCCATCGATTGAAGCGTTGAAGTCCGCTATCACAAATTATGAAAGATCAACTTACTGTCATTATGTAGTTCGAGATTCGCATTTGTGCAGAAATGAAAACTCGTACATTAAATTTGTGTGCTGGAGACATGGCCGTATAACATCTAGCGGTTCGTCACAGCGGATTAGACGGAGGAGGTAATTTTATAAATGTTATTAACATTTTTTGTCATGAAGGGCTTCCATGAACACTGAATGTCCGGCCTTCATGTATTGTAAGATTATCGACGGCTACTGGACTGTTGTACGTGGGAATGTGCATCACAATCACGAGTGCAATTCCCTAAGGTACCAAGGGAATTCATGGGTGCGCAGGTTAACAGAGGCCCAGTTTGAAAATGTGCGACCGCTGCTAATATCTGGTACTGTTTCATTCCACATTAAGAATTATGCTTACCATTCTTATGGGAAACTACTGACTGATCAAGATATCTATAATATGCGGTACAAAGTGTTCTCACAGGTGAACATTCCTGGTAAGCCATTTGCCAATTTATAATGTAAACGATAGGTGATTACGGGAAATTGAAAGCGCACATAACATCTTTGGGTGGGCGATGCGAATACGAATTAGACGATGAGAACTGTCTATCGTACTTTTTCTTCAGCACTGGTGATCAAAA